TGCTGAGCGTGTGAGCTGGTGTGCACTCTGTGTGTGAGCTTGTTAGTGAGCATGTGTCTGCTGAGAGTGTGAGCTGGTGTGTACTCTGCGTGCAACCTTGTTAATGAGTGTGTGTGCTGAGTGTGAGTCTGTGTGTGCTCTCCATGTGTGCAAACTCATGATTGTGTCTCATCGAGTGTGTCAGTGAGTGGGAGACAGGTCATCCCAAGTGAGCAGCGGTGACCATTGGGGCTGGGGAGGACGTGCCTTTGCGAGTGTGTGTCGTGGGAGCAGAGGAGCCGTGAGTACGTGTGTCCTTGTGATTCTGTAGGAGCATCTGAGCGTGTAGCTAGTGTGTAATGCCGCGTGTCCCTGTCTGTGCTTCCACAAGTGTGTTAGTGCCCTGGGGTGGTGTGGCTGGAGAGGCGGGCGTTGGGGTGTTTGTCCCTCTGCCGCCCCCAGGCACGCTCAGTGCTCAGGAGGGGTGCTTCATTGGTCCATGGGCAGCTGAGCTGCCTCTGGGCAGAAGGCTGGTGGGCACGAGGGAGGAGGTGGGCCTGGGAAGCCTGAGGCCGCCAGCAGGCCGGCCCTAGCTGACCCTGCTTGTCCCCAGATGTGGACGAGTGCCACGTGCTGGCCCACCTCTGCCCCCACGGCGAGTGCATCAACAGCCTTGGCTCCTTCCACTGCCACTGCCAGGCCGGGTACACAGCAGACACTGCCGCCACAGCCTGCCTGGGTGAGCCCCAGCTCCCGCGCCCCACACCCCGGCTCTGCACGACCCCTCCACATCTAGCTGGCCTGCCCTTCTGTGGGGCCTCCCCGTTAGCAAGGCTTGGTTTCCCTTTAGAAGTCCTTGGGTGGCACAAACGATTAATGCATCCAGCTGCTAACTGAAAGGTTAGTGGTTCCAACCAGAGACACCTTGGAAGAAAGTCCTGGCCATCTTCTTCTGAAAGATCAGCCACTGCAAACACTATGGAGCAGTTCTACTCTGACGCACATGGGGTCGTCGTGAGTTGGAATTGACTCAACATCAACTGGTTTCGTCTTTGGTTTTCATTTACCAAGTGGTGCCCACACCATAGAGAAAATTGAGAAATTGGGAACAAGAAGCAAAGCATCCCCTAGTCCCCCCCACCCATACACCTAATTTTGATTACTTTCCTCCTGTTATTTTGTACATCCTGAGATTGAGAGTTACTTAGTACAAAACCAATAGTCATTGAGTTGACCGACTCATGGCCACGCCACGTGTGTCAGAGTAGAACTGCGCTCCATAGGGTTTTCGGTGGCTGATTTTTATACAGTAAATCACCAGACCTTTCTTTCAAGGCACCTCTGGGTGGATTCGAACCTCTGATCTTTCAGTTAGCAGCCAGGCACGTTAAATCACTTGTGCCACCCAGGGATTCCTACATTATGTAGCAGGGGGGTATTTGTGGCATTCCTCTAAGTCAGAGGTCAGTGAATAGAGCCCAAAGGCCGTTTTTGTAAATCAAGTTTTATTGGCGCACAGCCACGCCCATTCTTGGACGTATTGCCTACAGCAGCTTCTGCATTCCAACAGCTAAGCTGGGTAGTAGCAATGGACCTTATGGTCCATTAAAGCCGAAAATATTTACTCTCTGGCTCTTTACAGAAGGGGTTTGCCAGTCCCTGGTGTGAGTCCACAGACGCAGGATGGCCAGGGTCTGGGGTGATCCCAGTCCCTGGGTCCCCAGGGAACACCCCTCTGACCCCCTGCACACCGTCATCCCCTCTAGATGTGGATGAGTGCAGCCAGACCCCCAAGCCATGTAGCTTTCTCTGCAAAAACACGGAGGGTGGCTTCTTGTGCGCCTGCCCCCGCGGCTACCTGCTAGAGGAGGACGGCAGGACCTGCAGAGGTGATGTGTCCCCCCATGCCCCAAGAGGTCCCATCCCTGCCCCCCAGGGCTCTCCCCTCCCCTCCACGTGGAGGCACTCTGGGAGTCGGGTGCCACCTCCCTGCCCAGCCCCAGCCTGGCCTGCCCTGAGCCAGCGGGCCGTCTGTGCCGCAGACCTGGACGAATGCTCCTCCAAGCAGCACAACTGCCAGTTCCTCTGTGTCAACACCGTTGGTGCCTTCACCTGCCGCTGCCCTCCTGGCTTCACCCAGCACCACCAGGCCTGCTTCGGTGAGTGCCCTGAGCCCAGCAGCCAGCCCACGACCTGGCATTCCCTCAGTTGTTGAACAGTTAAGTATCAAGTGCCTCGTGTGTGCCACACATTTGGGACATGGGTGATTGGGACAGTCTTTGCTTTCTTAGCACTCACAGCCTGGTGGCGTCTAGAACCTCGGAGGTCGCTCTGGGGAGCTAGGAGGCACACCCACAGGAGTCCTCTGGCCTCAGCCCAGGACACCTGCCCTCGCCCGTGCCAAGTCCCTGTGAAGTCTCTGTCCTAGGGCCTCCCCACAGTGGTTGGAAAGCTCAGGGGCTCACACAGTCCAAAGAGGAAGTTGGTTCAAAAACCAATGCTGCAAGCCACCTGTCACTGCTTCTGAGTGTCTTGTGGCCCTGAGGGGACCAGACCTCCCCTGAGAGCTGAGCTCAGCCCCTATTCGAGCTCCCTCTAAGCTACTGAACACCTGCTGTGTACCAGGCAGTGCTCTATATCAGGGGTCAGCAAACTCCAGCCCTTGCGCCACGTTCGGCCCCCTGTTTGCTTTTGTTAATAAAGCTTTATTGGCACACAGCCATGTCCATTTGTCTACATATTGTCTGTGACTCACTACAGCAGCAGAGGTGTGTAGTTGCAACAGAGACCCAGGAAATCAAGAATGTTTACTGTCTGGCCCTTTACAGAAATGGCTTGCTGCTCCATGTTCTGGACTCTGAGGGTACTGCAATGAGCAAGAGAGTCCTTTACATAATTACATTAATTCAGTTCTTACACAAACACAATGAGGACTGTAAGGTGGTACAGCCACTGTGGAAAACAGTTTGGTGGGTTCTCAAAAAATTAAAGATAGAATTATTCTATGACCCAGCAATTCCACTCCTAGGTATATGCCCAAAAGACTTGAAAGCAGAAACTCAAACACACGCATGATCGCCTGTGTTCACTGCAGCATTATTCACAATAGCCAAAAGGTGGAAACAACCCGAGTGTCCGTCAACAGATGAATGGATAAACACAATGTAGTCCATTCGTGCAATGGAATATTACTCAGCCAGAAAGAGAAAGGAAGTCCTGATACATGCTGTGACATGGATGAACGTTGAAAACATCGTGCTGAGTGAAATAAGTCAGACCCAAAAGGACAAACAGTGTATGATTCCGTTTGTATGAAGTACCTAGAATAGGCAAATGTATAGACACAGAAAGTAGACTATTGGTTACAAAGAGCCGGGGGTGGGGCAGGGGGTGGGAAGTTATTACTTAATGGGTATAGAGTTTCTGTTTGGGGTGATCGAAAACTTTTGTAAACAAATAATGATGATGGTTGCACTCCATTGTGAGCGTGATTAATGCCAGTGGATTGTACACTTGAAAATGGTTAAAATTGGCAAATTTTATGTTGTGCATATTTTACCACAATTAAAACCACACACACACAATGAGGTAGGCATTATTATCTCCATGTTATGTTACAGCTGAAGAAACAGAGGCACAAAGAGGATAAGTAAGTTGCCTGAGGTCACCCAGCATTTAAGTGATGGAGCTGGGATTCAGACCGAGGCAATCTGGCTTCAGAGTCCATATTTATAACCACTCTGTTATCCTGCTGCCTGCTATTAAAAAAAAAAAAAAAAAAAAAAAAAAAACCTGTTGCCATCAAGTTGATTCTGACTCATGGTGACCCCGTGCGTTGCAGAGTACAACTGCTCCATAGGTTTTTCTTGGCTGTAATCTTTATGGAAGCAGATCTCCAGGCCTTTCTTCTGTGGTGCCGCTGGGCGAGGTTGAACTGCCAACCTTTAGATTAACAGGCAAGCACAAACCATTTGCACCATAGCAACTCCTTTATCTGCATTATCTCAACAAATGTTGACATAAATGTGAAATGTCCGTCATGAATCCCATTTCACAGAAGGGCGACACTGAGGCACAGAGACGTTAAGGGACTTTCCTGAAGCCACACAGTGGATCTGGTGGTAGGACCAGAACTAGGATGCCCAACATTAACGCCTAACCATGAGGCTGCCCTGCCCATTCTCTGTCCTCTGCAGACAATGACGAATGCTCCATCCAGCCTGGTCCCTGTGGCACCCTTGGGCACTGCCACAATGCCCCAGGCAGCTTCCTCTGTGAGTGCTATGAAGGTTTCACCCTGGACAGCTCTGGCCGAGGCTGTGAAGGTAGTACAAGTTTGTGGGAGGGATCCAGGAGGGCTGGGAGGGGAGCCAGCAAGGAGGAGTCAGGGCTGCAGAGCAAGGCTGGCCATATCCATTTCTCAGGGAGTGGTGGCCTGCAGGGCTCAGTTGAGAAAAATCCTGAGACCATGGCTCTGAGCTTTGGGAAAGAGTGCTGCGCTCGATTAGTGATGTCTGTCAGGGATGTCGCAATGGAGTGTGTGGACGTGTTCGCTACATCTTTGCCACCTTTGCCCTCTGTCTCTCAGATGTAGACGAGTGTGACGGGCCCCACCGGTGCCAACACGGCTGCCAAAATGAGCCAGGCGGCTACCGCTGCAGCTGCCCCGAGGGGTTCACCCAGCACTCCCAGTGGGACCAATGTGTGGGTGAGTGGTGGTGACTGGGAGGAAGCCGAGTTCCCTGTCAAAATCTGCCCAGAGCTGGAAACTAGGAACCACCCCTCTTCAGGACATTGTCACAAGCATAGCTAGTGACACCCCTGTCAATGGGAAGGCTAGAATGTCAGGGGGCTGCAGAGTAAGGCGGGACAAGTCCATTTATCAGAGAGTGGTGGCCTGGAGCGCTCAGTAGAGAAAGATCCTGAGACCATGGTTGTAAACTTTGGGAAAGAGTGCTGTAATCAATCAGTGATGTCTGCCATGGGTGCAGCATTGGAGTGTGGGGGTGTGTTTGCTACCTTGCCATGGCTGGTGTAGAGGGCCTCAGTTCAGGGGGCTAGCCTTCTGCTCCATACCTCACTCTTTGCTGCTCCAGCCTCTCCTAACCCTCTACCTTTGTCAGGACCTACTCTCCCACAGCCTCTCCTCAGCCCTCACCCTTGACCTCCCCCACTCTGGGCACTGCTGCCAGCCCCTGCTGAACACTCTCTCCTCCCATGGCCTCTGTGACATGGCTATCCCCCCTCTCCCGCTGCCTCACAGACACTGCCTTCTCTGCCTGCTCTCCAGCTCCTCCTCCTGCCCCTGTGGTGGGTCTTCAGCTAATTTCTTCTCTGTATTTTCCCACGTGGTGTTTGCCTCTTTTGGATCTTGCAGACCTTTGACCTCTGCTGTTGATCCCTCAGCCTGTCTCCTCCTCTGCATACTTACTCATTCATTCCTTTAGCTATTGCTTCTCAAGGGCCTGCCTTGCACTAGGCCCTGGGGATACAGATGTGAGCAGAGGAGCAGAAATCATCCCTGCCCTTGAGTTGTTCAGTTATTCAGGGGCACACAGACATTCACTAGAGCAGCGGTTCTCACCAGGGCGATTCTGTCCCCTAGGGGACATTTGGAACATCTGGAGACATTTTTGGTTGTCACCTCTGGGGGTGGAGGCCAGGGATGCTGCTCAACATTCTACACAGGACAGCCCTTCTACACACACAACCAAGAACTATCCACCCCAAATGTCAGTAGTGCTGAGGGTGAGAGCTTATGTTCTGGGCCATTCTACAATGCAGGATTTATGTGAGGTTTTGAAAAGCGTTTCGACAGAGAACTGCAGGGTGAAGGGTGATGGGTATGAAGCTGCTGTGTAAAGGGGGGACCAGGTCTAGTCTGAGGGGTCACGGTGAGCTTGTGAAGACTTTGACATTGGACCTGGCTCTGAAGGGGAAGAGGGGAGGGGGCACGTTCCAGGTGGAGGGCACTGAGTGTGCGAAGGCCACCCCGCGTCCCTGTCGTCTCCCCCTCCCTGCAGACGAGAACGAGTGCGTGCAGTCGCCAGCGGCCTGTGGGAGTGCCACCTGCCACAACACAGTGGGCGGCTTCCGCTGCGTCTGCCCCTCAGGCTTCGACTTCGACCAGGCCCTCGGCGGCTGCCGGGACGTGGATGAGTGCGCGGCGCGGGGCAGCCCCTGCAGCTACGGCTGTGCCAACACCCCTGGCGGCTTCCTCTGTGGCTGCCCCCGAGGCTACTTCCGGGCTGGGCAGGGGTGAGAGGCGCGGGCAGGGCGGGCAGACCCCTGGACCTCATTGGTGTGCACACCTGGGCTGTCCATACGCGGAGCCCTCCACTGGGAGAGCTGCCTCTGCCTACACACACAGGCATGGACACACGTGTGCAGAGAACTGGACACGCAGAGGCTCTGCAGCACCTGTGTCTGTATACACGGCTCCCAGTACCTACACACACGCAGTTCACACCCCCCGATGCGTAATTATCCTCACAGTGCTCCTATAGGCTCACACATCCACATAGGTGGGTGCATACCTCCACGTAGTATACGTGCATGTACACACAAGCTCACACATGCCCACATCCCTGAGTACACTCGCTTGCCGTCGTACATTCTGCTGTGCACACATGCACACACATCATTAACCCTCTGTACATGCGCCTGTGCACCTATCACGCATCCCTGAGCACACTCAGATGTCACTCATACCTTCCAGTGTGCAAATGTGCACACACACATCATCTCTGCGTGCAGGTTCATGCACACACGCCCAGGTACACTGATAGACATCATACCTTCAATTGTGCAAACATGCTTGCACATGACATCCCTGTGTGCGTGCAGGCTCACACTTCTTCCCAGGTGTACCCAGCAACACACAGGCACACGTGCACAGCCCTGTGCATCTGCACACACATGGCTTGTACACACGGAGCCTATCGGGCACGTGTGCAGAGCTACCTGTGCATGCACTCCATGGACAGCCTGGCTCAGAGTGGTGTGGAGGGGCTGGCGGGTTGGGGGCTGGCGGGGGAGGCTCACCCAGGGTGCCCCTGGAAGCCCACCCATCCCCATCTGCCCCAGGCACTGTGTCTCTGGCCTGGGCTTCAGCTCCGGACCCCAGGACACCCTGGACAAGAAGTTGCTGCTCTCGCCTGAAGCCTGCTATGAGTGCAAGATCAATGGCCTCTCCCCACGGGACCGACCACGGCGCAGCACTCACAGGGACCACCAGGTGCCACAGGGCTGCACTGGGCATGGGGGTCGGGGTAGGGCAGCCAGGGGCCAGGCCAGGGGACGGGAAGGAGGCTGTAGGCCTGGCTGACCCGAGCCACCCCAGAGGAGTTGCCCCAGATTCCATGTGCCAGGATTGTCCCCCACTTCGTGGTTCCTGCTCAGACCTCCTACATGTCCTCAGCCCTGGGATTTTCTTGCACACCACACCTTCCACTCCTGGGACGTCACACACCTCCCACCAGACTCTGGGTGAGCGCTGATGCTCCAGTGGAAGCTTCCACGATTCTTTCATGCAAGAGCAACGCCCTGGTTCCCCAGGCCTGCCTGCACCCTGGGGCCTTCACCCTCACCTCCTGGCTGGTGACACCCTCCCTCGGAGGCCCTGCCCATAGGGTTTAACACCAGCGGGGGCCAGAGCAGCCGGCCACGCCACCCCTGCATTCTTCCTCCCCTGACCCAGACCCTGTCTGCCCCTCCACGCTGCACCTCCCTCGTGACTCCTGTCTCCCATTCCCTGCGCCAAGGAGCCCTGGTGGCGCAAGGGTTAAGCACTTGGCTAACCGAAAGGGTGTCAGTTTGAACCCACCCAGCAGTGCCATGGAAGAAAGCCCTGAAAATCTGCTTCCGAAAGGTCACAACCTTGAAAACTTTATGCGGCAGTTCTACTCTGTACACATGGGGTCTCCATGAGTTGGAATCGATTGCGTGGGAACTGACAGCATCCCCTGAGGCAGCCCTCAGCCGTTCTCACAAATACCTAGCCCTGTGGCCAGTTCCCAGCCTGCAGGTCCCAGCCTGCCTTGGGGAAGCGAATCCCTTCCCTGCGGTCTCGAGAGAGGCTCCCTTATGAGCACCCATACACCAACTGGCACACCCACCCGGCATCTGCCTCCACACCCCCTTCCCTGCACCTGCGAGACTCCTGGAGCTGAGCTGAATCTGCCTTGTCTGTAGAACCCAGAGGCGTCCTCCCCATGGCCCCCAGCGCTGCATGACAGCAGAGCATGCCTGCAGCTGTTACACCTGCCCCCACCACCCTAGCCAGGACCCAGACCCCCCCGCCATGGTTTGCGGGGAGGGTGGTTTTACCACAAATTTGCTCTGGCTTCCCCTTAACCAGAGTCCCTGAGGCCATCACCACCATCACCCAAGAGATTTGAAAACTAAGCATTTATTACCAGCTGGATGCAAGCAGTGCCAAGCACTTTGCATCCACAGTCTCTCAATCCATACAGGAGCCTTGGGAGGTGGTGTTAGCTGCCAGCTCGGCCCCCAACTCACGGAGACCCCATGCACAATGGAACGAAACGCTGCCCGGTCCTGCACCAGCCCCATAATCAGTTGCAGATCAGACCGTTGCAATCCACAGGGTTTTCACTGGCTGATTTTCAGAAGTCGATTGCCAGGCCTTTCTTTCTAGTCCATCTTAGTCTGGAAGCTCCACTGAAACCTGTTCAGCATCTTAGCAACACACAAGCCTCCCCTGATAAATGGGTGGTGGCTGTGCATGAGGTGCGTTGGCTGCGGCTGGAACCCGGGTCACATGTGGAGGGTGAGAGGTGTACCACTGAACCCCTGCTGCCCTCCCTGGGAGGTGTAGATGCCACTACTGTCCCCCATTTTATGGTGGAAAGGTTGAGGTTCAGAGAGGCTGGATCATGTGCCCATGTTACAGATATTGAAAGTGCTGGAGCAGGGAGTCCATGGCTATGCCACATGGCCTTTTCTTCACGAGCAAGCTGGGCCTTCACAGCCTGGCCTCTCAGGCCCCTCTGTGGCCACAACCTTCCAGGGCCATCAGTTTACCAGTTGCCATCGAGTCGATTCCAACCATGGTGACCCGATGTGTTCTACAGGGTTTTCAGTGGCTGATTTTTTGGAAGTAGATCACCAGGCCTTTCTTCTGAGGCACCACTGGGTGGACTCAAACCACCAACCTTTTACTTAGCAACCGAGTACATTAACTGCATCACCCAGGGTCTAAAAATATCATCACTCGGCACAGATGCCACTACCCCTAGCTCACCCCTCTACAAACGTCTCCTGGGACCAAATGCCTTCACTCCATAGATTTTATTGAACACCTACTGTGTGCTGGGCACTGTAATGGCAATGGGGAATACAGCAGTGAGCAAGAAAGACAAAAGTCCCTGACCTCATATTCTAGCAGGGGAGACAGATCAGAAATAAGTAAAACACAACGTATTTTATAATATGATAAACTACAACGCCCGATAAATACTGTGGGGGAAATAAAGCCGAAAGTGGGATAGGAATGTTGAGTCTAAGAGGCTTGCTATATCGTTGTTGTTGTTGTTAGGTGCCGTTGAGTCGGTTCCAACTCACAGCAACCCTGTGGACAACAGAATGAAACATCACCCGGTCCTGCACCATCCTCACAATCCTTATGCTTGAGCCCATTGTTGCAGCCACTGTGTCAATCCATCTCCTTGAGGGTCTTCTCCTTCGCTGACCCTCTACTTAACCAAGCATGATGTCCTTCTCCAGGGACTGATCTCTTCTGACAACATGTCCAAAGTATATAAGACAT